TTTGACAGTAATTTTGTTATTTACTTAATTTTTGTTTACCATTCAACTCTTTTTTACATGACTTTTTAATGACTAACCACACCCGAAATATAACCTATCTCCGGGTGCGCGGCTTGCTCTGTGTTCCTCGTAGAACGCTGGAACGGTAATTAATGTCGTGCTACAATTTACACGCTGCATTTGTTTCAGCTTATGAAAAGACAGTAAACGATATATAAGAAAGAATAATTGCTGAAAATATTGTCCCCGTAAAATGCGTGCTTGCATACATCTTATTCGGCCAAAATGGTAGAAAGAAAACTACTCTACGGTAATTAGAGAAGGAAAAAAGACAAGGAAGGTAAAAGCTAAATGAATAAGATTGAATTTTTAATATATTATTTTATCAATATTTACAAACAGGGTATCACCTGTGATTTCGATGATTTCGTAATATAGCCTTGATAACATATTAAAAAGTCATTAAAATCTGAAATGTCACCCTGTTTATGAATAATTACGTATTAATTAAACAAATTAATTCTGTATAATTTCTAATAATTTGACAAAATATAAACTTGGTCCTAGTTTTCCGCTTCGTCACTATATTTTAATTTTAGTACGCTTATGAGTTTTGGAGTTATGCTTTTTTGTTGCTGTTTAGAGTATCTATATTTTACGATAGAAAGTTATACATGAATATAGAAAAAAACAGTGGCATTTAATATGATATATGAAAGCCTTACGTGTTTAACACTAAGCGTACCAACACTTTTCCTGTCGTAACCAATCAAATAACTAAGTATAAAATAAAAATAAGCAAATTAGATGATACATTTTTTGTAGTGAAAACAGAAACAAAAGGAAAGATAAGAATTAAAAAATTGACTAATTGAACAATATAGGAATTGATACTAAAGTTAAATACAATATATAAAAAAAAACCTAGAATTTTAAATCTGGTCATTTGACCGGTTTCTAATACGATTAGTGTGAAGGAGTGTGTTTCTGAATATCGCGCTCATGGTCGTATTCCTGTTATTTCAAGATACTTGGTGAAATACTTCCTACATGTATGTTATGTGTTAGATACGATGGTTTGCTGATTTTTCATGTGTGGTTTAGGGTTCACTGTTTCTTTATGTTGCTTGATGTTTCCGTTTTTTCCTTCGTCAAAGCTTATCTATAAATTTCTCATTGTCAGTAAAGCACCTGTATTTGTTTTTTAAGCAGTGGAAGTCGTTTAACACGTTCGCTACCAGCGTCATATATTTATCACGAACGTAATCCTATATTTTACATAATGAAAATGAAATTAATCCTATGGATATTGTTATTAGAAATTATAAACTACGACATTATATTTAGGAACTCAATGGCTCGTTTCAGTTTCATTTTTCTAATATTTTGTTTAGAAGATTTATTGAATTGAATGAAATAAGTGCAGGTAGCGAACGTGTTAAACCTCCGTTGCGTATGTTAGTTGCATATTTCAATATTGGTGGGTTGTCGGTGTGGTTATATGTTATTTTTTTATCTGCTCTATTTTTACTTGCGTCGCAAATGGTGGGTATGTTATATACCTTTTCATTAGTCCATTTTTTTCGAAGTATACAAATGTTTGGAATGTTATATATCCCGAGGTTTTGCAATTATTATTTATCTCTTCTCGGAATATATTTTATATATCTTTCTAAGAGGTTGTTTCCTATGCGATTTTGTTGACTAATGGGGGATTGCAGAATATGGTATCTTCAGGATATGTTGGTGATGTTGCTAAGTTGGTGTCTGAGAATTGTGTGACAGTGTTTTGTTGTTTGTGGTTATTTGTGAAAGTGTCTATTAGCAGGGAGGCTTTTTGGTCGACTGTTGTTTTTATAGATTTATCCATATTGATGTGTCAAAGAGAGTTGATCTTTTCATAGTATGCACCTATTATGTTTAAAATGTCTATTGAGAGGTGGATGTAGTAATTGTCGTTTATGAAAGTTAGTTTTTGTATATTGCATTTGCTTCTGATAATGATGCCAAGGTCTTTTTTGTGTGTATAAAAGTAATCTTTCTTTGAAGGATGTTTAAGTCTGAAGAGTCTATTTATGCTAGAGAAAAAGGTGTTGGAGTGATGTGTGTAATCTTTTTGATTTGTGAATCCCAATATTTTGCCCATTATTGTGCCTTTTAGGAGAGGAATATTGAAAGCTAATGCACAAAGCTAATGTAATTTCTTCCATTTAGTTTTCTGGCGCATGAACCTGTGTGTTTCTTCAGGATTGGCTGTTTCTAATGTTAAGTGCAGGTTCATGATGAGTATCAGTGCTTTGCGGTCGCTGTTGTGGTTCGTATTTTGTTGTTGTTGAGATCGGTTATATGAACTCTTTCATTCACTATACCTAAGTCTAGATATGAGTTCGCGTTGGGGAACGTGGGTGCTTCTCGATGATTTTTACGAGGTATGAAATTCCTGCGGTTTGTGTGCAATTTCTGAGTATGGTCCCTTTTCGGTTTGTGGATTCATCACCCCAGTTGGTGTGCTTGGAGTTTAGATCTCCAGCGGTGATGAATAGGTGGTTTAGATAATATAGCTTCAGTTTTATGAATGGGTGGTTTAGCTCGCCTATGTACGTTGTTTTACTTTCATTGTTTGATCGTTATTTGTGATATTGGCAAGGGAGAGATGCATTGGAGGCCTTCGGTTTGGCTCCGAGCGCCCTTGGGCGCGGTATCCCGAGTTTTTCACGTGTGAAGTATTGTTCTAACCTTAAGCCTATCCGTGTCTATATTGATTGAGTTGTCTGATTCCAGTAATTTGGTGTTTTGAAACTTATTGTCTGGTTTGGTTTAACTGTTAATATGATTGTAATTTGGCACTTTTTTTATGGTGTTCTGCATATTTTATATTTTTGCACTATTTAAGTTGAGATATGAAAATATTTATTTATGAAAATATTTTTTTGTGTCTACACGTATCCCATACGCCGTAATACAACTCCATATCATAACGGAACAAAACAATCTATATCATTACATATTTTTTGACAAAACTCAAACGAGCTTTAATATTTTTTTTTGAAAAGGCAGATTTCTTCTCCCTCATTGATATAAAATTAGCTTCTTTTAATGCTCTTCGAGCCATCCATTTTCTTATTTTCTTTCCAACATCACTTTCCGACAAATTTGCAGCCACTGACACCGTCGTCGCAACTTCTGAAGTTGTATATTTTGTTAATCATCGCTTGTCTTGACAAGACAATAATTTTGGACGTCCTCCTAAAGATGTAGGAACTTTATTACAACATCATTTTCGTATTTTATGTATTACAGCCTGACTAATTACAAATTGTGTAACAACTTTTCGCGTTGATCAGCCAGACTTTAATTGAGAAAAATACGATCTTTCGCAGTTTTAGATAATGGCTTTATGACAGTACGTTAATGCGTGTTACTGCGCGAACAACAATACAACTACCAGAATACTCCTGATCTCAGGTAACACCGGTCATTGTTTACAAAAACCATGTTTACGTTTCTCAGCTACAAACGTTCTAATGCGGTGCAATGCCGGCTACACGGAAAAAGTTTGTATTTATCAAAATAATAATACCACGATCGATAAAATTTTTTTGGAAAGCTAAAACATTATACTTAATATTATGTATTCTTTTTCTATTGTATATACAAACATTCAATAAAAATTAATTTTTGTAAAAATATCGTATGTGTGTTCACTTTTGCTTCTCACTGTATATATCTGATACAGTTATATAAAGCTAGTAATTAATGATACTGTTATAATAAATGTCAAACATTAACCTTCTTAAGTATGTAAAAAAGAAAATAAACGTTATTTGTACTATTACTAGTAGTAGTCGGGTACCACTATTACCGGCAAATCGGTAACATTAGTTGCTGGTATCTTGATAATGGCTTACACGAAAAATTTATTAATTATACTTTATTAATTATACTCAACCGAGCATCCCCTTGCCCTTCTCTTCACAAGTGGCGCGAGCTGGACTGTCTGTTGGTTATCACCACTACCGACGAACCAGCAACTTTGAATGCTAATATCTTGATAACGACTTAAGCGAAAAGTTGAATTTTTATGATTTGGAAATATTTGAATTTCGATTTCGAAAATATGGAACAGAAACCATTGGGTTCTATTTAAGAATTGTAACGTGACCTTAGCAAGCCGTTTCAAGGTCACGTTATGGTCAAACACCTCCCACCGTGATAGGTAGTATTTCAATCCCTGTAACTTTTGTTTGACACAGTCGTTTGTATCGCAAATATTTTTTAAGATAATTCGGTGTCCTTGATTCAATTCCCATATATTTTTTTTTAAATAAATCCTATTTTTATCTGGGAAACTATTAAGTTTTCGATTCATGTTTACTGGGCTTTTTTTACTCAATTTAATGAGTTGATAAGCACATGAGCAAGACAAAGTCGAGCACGTAACTTACAAGTAACATCTTGTGAAACCGAAACTCAGGTACTTATATACTTTACTTTAAGCGGTGGGGAAACATACTTATATGTAAGTCAAGTTATACTGTATTGACATAATATGTCAACCGATGCTTCTTCTTTGAAAATTTATTTAGAAAAGACAGGCCATTTCTTTCTAATGGGTATTGTCGCAATCTTTTATATGTGCACCATGTTAACATCCCGAAAGGATGTATGAAATATAAATTATTTTAATACAAATATTGATTATTGCTTGTAAACATAGTGTATAAATTATATTTTCTCTTTAATAATAATCATATTTTTCAATTGAAGTGTATTAACTTGTTAACTGTGGAATTTAGTTTAAAACATATCTCGTTTTGCACGTAATAAGATGAAAAAATGAAGTGTGTATTTATAAGAATGATTTCGTTGAAAGACTTAATACTATTTCAAGCTTTAAGATGACATGTACAAACACAGTTAACTGGTTAAATAATGAATACGATAAAATACCTATTAATCGAAGGAGTGTAATATGCTAATTGAAAATACGCTTGTTTCAGATTGTAAAAATGATGATCGTGGTAGTGGTAATATTTGCAGTATGTTGGCTACCATTTCACGTGTATTTCATCATAACATCGTACTTGCCTGAGATTACGAACGAACCTTACATCCAAGAAGTGTACTTAGGCATCTATTGGTTGGCGATGTCTAACAGCATGTATAATCCAATCATCTACTGCTGGATGAATTCCAGGTAAAATGTTATTTTAAGCAGCATGTAAGTACCCTCCATTAATATTTTAACACTCGTATCTCAATCTTATTCTTTGCAACGACTGATGTAAGTTTTAATAATGTTTCTATATATACAGTATTTGAAGCAAACTATATATGAAGATAGTAAGTTTAGTGACATTGTAAACACTGCAAATTCGATGCAAATAGATTCCTCTAGCTCAAGATCTACATACTTATACTACGTGCAAAATGTTTAGGAGCGGTGACAAGAAAAATTAATTTAGAAAGAAGAGACTTTGCACTGATTGCGAGTGAGGTGTAGATACTCTATTGCCGTAAATCAAATATTTATTTATATGTTCTATTTTCTTACTTTCGGTTCCACCACTTTCATTTGTTTCTCAAAGTCAATTACACTGTTGAACAAACTTTGACCTATGTTAGTTTTTACAATAACCACTATGTGATTCTTATAGAGTTCCTTGCCCTAAATACGAATCCGAAAACCAAATTGCTGGGTCAGGTCCAGTTTTCGAAAAACTGGGGTTTTGTAAAAACGGTCGAATTTTTCAGAAAACCAAGTGTTACGTGAAAACTAAAAACTATAGGCCGTTAAAATTTATCGCAAAAAGTAAAGGAGACTTGCCCGAACATGTAGCTATAAAAATTTTGAATTTTGTGTATCATTAAATGTTTGTAAACGATGATCAAATTTTAAAAAAGAGTAGATGCGCGTACTTTGTATGCTCTTCCGTTACATTTCTACGAAAAGTGGGTTGGCCAGCACGAATTTGCTGTGCACCATTGGACTCTGCAGACATTTCTGAAGAGGAACCTC